GGAGGCAAAAAGGAAGAGCAGCTTTTGATTTAAGAATAAAGGTATTCTGTATTTGTTTTCAGTGTGGTAAAAAGAAATCGACAAGTAGTTCTGTATTCATCAACAGGCTGCAACCTAGGACCCAGGATATCAAATTTGACGAAGACTTTTAACCCTTTTTGGGTTAAAGATCAAGGCTATAAAATTCTGTCGTGAGAGCTTTTCCTCAATCTTGATCTCATTAAGAGGGAAGACTCAATTCATCATGCATATTTTAAGTCTGTTTTGGGACAAGTATTTGCAAACTTGGCCCTGGTGTACAGGGTAGAGAGTGATCGATCCCTTTTTAGTTTGTTGCTAATAAATTGTATTGAAGCTCTCAAGCCTCAGCGATGTGAAATTTGATCCCATGTGAAGATCTGAATCGAGGATGGGCAAACCTAAATGCTTACAAGGACATTGACTAAAACAAAGTTGGCAGGGTGAAGACTGAGACCTGGAGAGGCCGGTTCCCATCTAAAGGGGCGTTTCCTCTTCAGGGCCAACAAGTCACTGATAGATGGTGGTGGTACCAGAGCTTTCTGTTTTTTGTGGGAAGCTGAAAAATCAAGATTTTTCTTAAATTGTGAATTTATCAATTTTTCAATATAGACTTTTCCAGTTTCAAAATTATGGAAAATCTATAAATATATTTTGAAGTGCTGCTTTGCCCTTTGTAGAGAGATCCCATCCAAATTCTGCCAGTTATCCTAATAATGTTATTTCTAACAGAATGATTCAGGATCACACATATTTAGATGTCATGTCTTTTTAGTCGTTTCCAGTTTGGAACAGTTCCTCCGTCTTTCCTTGACTTTCATACACTAAGGTTTTTGAAGATTGTAAGCTAGTTGTTTTGTAGAATAGCTCTCCATTTAGGTTTGTCTAGTGTTTTCTTATGATTAGAACCAGGTTATATATTTTGGGCCAGAATATCATACAAGTGATACTGTGTTCCCATTGCATTTTATCTGTTGGCACATGGCGTCTGCTTAATGATGTTCAACCCCTGGAGTAAGGTGATGTCTGCCAGATTCCTCCACCATAAAATTACCTTGTCTTTACCTTATTAATTTATAAGTATTTTATGAGCAGAGAGTTTGAGACCATGTAAAATTTCATTCCTCATCTCATTTCACCCAAGAATTTTAACATCCATTGATGGTTCTTACCTGAATGAATTATTGCTCTAATCGTTGCCAAATGATAAAATGATAATTTTCTAGTTCCATCATTCTTTTTACTTTTTTTATTTGGCATTTTACTCCAAGGAAGAGCTTCCTTTTCTTTCTGTTTGTTTATATCAGTGTGGACTTGGGGATCCCTGTTTTATAATACTTTGTATCAGTGTGGACTCGGGGATTCCTGTTTTATAATACTGTATATCAGTGTGGACTCAGGGATTCCTGTTTTATAATACTTTATATCAGTGTGGACTCGGGGATCCCTGTTTATAATACTTTATATCAGTGTGGACTTGGGGGTCCCTGTTTATAATACTTTTATATCAGTGTGGACTCGGGGATCCCTGTTTATAATACTTTGTATCAGTGTGGACTCGGGGGTCCCTGTTTATAATACTTTATATCAGTGTGGACTCGGGGGTCCCTGTTTTATAATACTTTATATCAGTGTGGATTCGGGGGTCCCTGTTTTATAATACTTTATATCAGTGTAGACTCGGGGGTCCCTGTTTTAATACTTTATATCAGTGTGGACTCGGGGGTCCCTGTTTATAATACTTTATATCAGTGTGGACTCGGGGATCCCTGTTTATAGTACTTTATGTCAGTGTGGACTCGGGGGTCCCTGTTTATAATACTTTATGTCAGTGTGGACTCGGGGGTCCCTGTTTATAATACTTTATATCAGTGTGGACTCGGGGGTCCCTGTTTATAATATTTTATGTCAGTGTGGACTCGGGGATCCCTGTTTATGATACTTTATATCAGTGTGGACTCGGGGATCTCTGTTTATAATACTTTATGTCAGTGTGGACTCGGGGGTCCCTGTTTTATAATACTTTATATCAGTGTGGACTGTTTATAATCCTGTTTATAATACTCTACTGTCACAATTCATGTTGCTGCTCAGATTGTTCTAGATTTGACCAGTGTTAGCCCCTTCAAGATGGCTTTTGTGTTCTTTTGAGATGTCCCCTTCATTCTTTGAGTACTTAACTTTCTGGCACAAGACATTTCAGGCTCATCTTGTTCTTTCTCTGCCTCAGCCCTGGACTCAGCCATTTCTTCCAGGAGTGCTGGTTACTGTTAATGGAGAATGGTATTTAGAAGTTAAGATCTGGATGCTAGATATGCTCCTTGCTCCTGGGATATTCCTGCCGTCAGGTCCAGTGGACAGAGCTAGGAAATGCACATAAACATACACATTTATATGTATATTTACTGCAGTATTTATATGTATGAAAGCAGGAGTTCATACCAGTCCCTCCAGCTGTAGCTCAAAACTACAGGACCCATTCTAGCTTATTCCCTTTGCATATTTATATCTCTCTTCTCCAATAAGGAGGACTCTGGATCCCATTATTTTTAACATGTTAAATCAATTCTTGTGTATCTAGCCGATCTCTTGATCCCTTCAAGCACTGCCCCACTCAGGTGCCTTCCTTATATGGACTTTGACCCTGTGGGAGCCGCTGCCCTGCTTGGATGCCCTCTTAGTACAGGCCCCACCTGCCTCTGGGCTGCCTTCCTATCCTGTCCACCGCCTTCTTCATATGGGTCCTGGCTGCCACTGGGTTGCAGGAAGGAAGAACTGCTTTTGAAATAATGGCCAAATAATTCAAGATCAAAACAAAACAAAAGTAAAAGAAAAAAAAACCCATAAGCCTTTATGGATTAATCTCTGGTAGGCTGTTTCTGAAACTGGTGTGGCTTCTGGCTTAGATGGTCAGAGGGAAATGGTGGGAAGGGGGATCAGATGGTGCGGATGGTCTGATTCATATGGATGTTAATGAGAACCATTGGACCTACTTGGGTTTGCAGGAAAGGTGAGTGCATGTGCTGACTGACCTTCCCTTACATGGTCTTCTCACCTCCCCCTTGGACTCAGCAAGATAAAGAGTGTAGCACTCTTGTATTTTTGGCAAACTTTTCCATTGACCTTAGTTTTGGTCTTTTTTTGGTGGTTGTTGTTCCTTTAATTTGCACTTTTTACTGCTTCTCACACTTTTGGAGAAGCCCATTGTGACATAAATCATCTTGTCATTGCTGAGGTTCAGGCCAAATAACTGCCCCCAGTGAAAAAGAAGATTAGGAAGAAGAGAACTTATTTTTCAGATATGCCACCTCTGAAAAAAGGGGCATAAAAATGACAGCTGTGTTGGGTACCAGATTGCAGTTAACCACCTGGATTTTGCCAGTCTTTTCACGTTGACCAAGTTAGATCAGGTGTTCATATTGAAGAGGCGTGAAAAGCGGTTTTCTCTGAAGCAGAACCTTCTTTGTCTCTCTAAGTCATTTTTCTTTTGAGGGAGAGGATGGCAGGAAGTATGTTACTGTGAGGTAATGTCTAGGCGAGGCAGGCAGCCTCTGTGGGGTCAGCATATGGGCCCCTTTTACATTTCACAAGAATCCAGAGTGTGATTGTCTCTGGCTTGCTTGGGTAGTCTTTTTTGGAGGACTATTGGGATAGGTAGGTAAGGAATGACATGGCTAGAAGTTAGATGATCACTACTAGAGGTAGAAGTAATGCTTATTAATTCTCGTCCTTACCCATCCATGCCTGGTCAACATTTTCTCTTTGTCCACATCCCTTTTCTAGGCCTCATGATGTTTTGTTTTGTTTTTGTTTCCTTACTCTTCCAGTTTTCTTTCTTTGGCTCTTGTATATTTCTGGTACAGAGAATTAGGGAGCCGAGATAGTGAGTGGGTGAGAAGAATTAGAGAAGAGGAGAATTTCTAAATGCTGACCTTTAATGTGGTAACAGATCATGCTGACTTCATAGTCTGGGTAAGCATGTGTAAATAATTTGTAAATCATATGAAAATAAACTTGTGGTCTTCTAGTTTTTTTTTTTTTTTTTTTCACACACTTGGATGGTGCCTCTTGGGAAAACCACTTCAGGAAGGAGTGATATGGTTATGGTGGTATGTAAACAGGGGCTGAGATTTACCATAGGCATTCACCTTGAATGGCCTCTTGCTGATGTTGACCATCACTGGAAAGTTTTCTCTTCCTCCAGTTACTTCCTTCAGAAGAATCTCAGAGGCACAGATGGCCCAGAATGTCACTGCTGCCCTGTTTTTAGTGGTCTCCATGTTGAATCCCTCTGTCTTTGCCTTCTTTCATTAGTCTTCTGTACCCTGCCCACTTTATTGCTCTGATTCAGACCTAGACTTTGTCTGCTGTTAATGCTGCTGTTTTTGTCATTTCTGAAATGACATTATATTTTATGAATTATGTTATATTACAGATCTGTTATTTTTGTGGCTGTGAGGTCTAAACGATACATTGCTACACTGTCCTGTTTTTCCTTTTGCTTAACGTTTTTGATTACACTCAATACATATTTACTAACTGCCTGATGTCCTTCATTCACACCATTCTACACACAATTTCCCAGGTTTTGAATAACATTATTTTCATTGTTGGTTCTTCCTGTTGGTTTAAGGTTTTATAGAAGAGAAGCAGCATTTCATCGAATGGTTAAGAACATGGGTTTTGGAGTCCATGTGATTTGGAGCAAATTACTTGATCTCTCTAGATCACATTTCCGTTTTCACATCTATTTATAAAATTAGAATAATATCACTACCTCATAGGGTTGTTTTAAGGATTGAATTGCATGTAATATTATAGATATGAAATGCTTCGTATGATAGTTGGCACTTGGTAGGTCCTCAGCATTTGTAAGACAAGGATGTCACCCTCCTTGTATTGTTTTCTCACCAATCCTTAGTTCTAGCCTGTATTTCTCTGAGACCTTGCTCCTGGCTCTTAACCTCTGTCCTGCCTGTCAGGTTTGCAACTGTACGATATGATCAAGGAGCCAAGAACATTCGGAACCAGTTCATGCACCTGACCAACTACAGCGTGAACAAGAAGAGTGGAGACTATGTCAGGTATGGGCTGTGTCTGAGCCAGGAGCCAGGGAGGTCAGTCTCTGATGTGGGTGTTGCACAGTTGGGAGGCTAAGGTGCTACATGGGAGGATCATTTTACCTTTATCTCCATGTAGCTGATGGAAAGCTGTTGGAGTCACTTAACAGTTTTGAGGCTATCCACTGCTGCTGCTCCCCCGCTAGCCCAGTTACAGTGTCACTGCTCTCTAGGCCTTCACACATTACGCCGCCCTTGTTGTCCTCCCTTACTTGACTTGGGGTGAGGATTTAATAGGCAAAGGGAACTTCTTAGGAGTCAGGAGAGGAGGCCGTTGCAGCGCCTGTCGTGCTGTGCTGGAACCCACTGTTGTGGCCACTGTGTCACACCGTCTGACTCTTGTTGGGTGCTGTCAGGTCGACTTTTGACTCACAGCAACCTCATGTGATAGAGTAGAACTTGTCCGGAGGGTTGTCTAGGCTGAACCCTTCACAAGAGCAGATTCTCAGCAGACTCGTGTGAGGAAGACGCAGGACGGGGCACTGTTTTGTCCTGCTGTGCTGACTCAAAACTAACTCAGCAGCACTTGACAACAGCAGCAGCAAGTATCTTTTTATTCAAACAAAAGATCAAGTTGAATGTACTGTCTGGTACCCAGCTATTTCCACCTAATCACATGCAGTATTAAACACTTGCCTGTGATCCTGTGCATACATCCTTCATTGTTTCTGAAGGTTACACCCCTGGAAATGGAACTGCTGGGTGAAACGGTGTCTTTCTCCCATGGAGATGCTGGTTCGGTTCGAACTGCCAAGTTTTTGGTTAGCAGCTGACTGCTTAACCATTGTATCATCAAGTCACCTTATAAGATACCTAAAGCTCTTTATTTCTGCTGAGAGGGAGGGGGAAAAAAAACCAGAAGGCTATATACCAACATGTTAACAGTGCTTAACAGATAGTGGGTGGGATTATGAGTGAGTGGTTTTTATTTTCTTCTTTGTATGTTTTTTTTTCTAAATTTCCTAAAACAAACACTTGTATAATCAAGGGAGAGAAAAAAAGAAGAAATTAGGAAAAATTTAAATCAAGAAAGAAATGAGGCCATTTCAGAAAAGGATTCAGTGGAACAGAGTACCAGCTCGGCTGTATGGAAATGTGTTTTCTGCTCTGTTTTCTTTCATCCTGACAATTTTGCCAGAAAGTGGAAAAATAAAGAAACCCAAACAGTTACTTTTGACTAAGACTAAAAATAGGTACCTAGCAGGTCCAAGGCAAGAAAGGTATCTAGAAGTGATGGCATAGTTGCCAAAGCTGTATAGGTTTCATTCAGTGTCCTATGACCACGGGTTGAAGATACATTTCCTTCACTTTGGAAAATGAGCGGCAGTGGAACTGGTGGGGCGTAGGCGGTGGTAGAGAATGAGGAGGCAATTACAAAACACAAATTGCAGATTGGAGGGCTCTTCCATCGTTTGTGGGTGTCCCTCATTTGTCGGTCTGCTGCTGTGGCAGTGGGGTGCTGCGTCGCTGGTCGTGGTGCTCTGCTGCCTCGTTCAGTGATAACTCAGAAGGTATCCCAAAGGCTTCTGTGCCACCAGAGAGGAGGGAGCTTGCTTCAGATGTCACAGCCCTTCCGTGCTGGGTGAGCTCATTCAGTGCTCCACTAGATCATTAGCCCATCCAGATGCGGTGCTGGTCTGAAAGTGGCATCAGGGGTTACTTTGTGGGCTTAGGTAACATTTACCTCCAAGGCTAGGTTTGTCCCCTCAGCATTTCAACCTGTTAATTTATTATCATCCTGTTAAATCTGCTTACATTCTTTCACTTGTTTCTTCTGCTCTTTCGTGATACCTAATTGCTTGGTTGAGGAAGATTTTGCCTTCTTCTCCCCTCTCCCCTTCAATAAGGTGAGCTATATGCATTTTCATTTCCTCTGACAAAACTGGTACAAGGGTTACCTAACAGAAAGGCCCAAGAACAAGTGGGTGAGTGGAAGTCAGTCAAATGAATATTTTTCTAAATACTAAAAAAAGACAAGAAGGCTATTTGTAAAGAACATTATTTCTAAAGCCAGGCCTAGTCCCATATGTGACCTTGATGCATTAATTTGTTTTAGTTGTGATGATCCTGAAGTGGAGGATTATGGAAACAAATGGAGCATGAGTGCTATGCTTAGGTACCTGAAACAAGAAGGCAGAGATACAACTGGTGAGTACCGGGCCTTCTCTTTTATCACTTCTCTTGTCTTTGTACCACCACCATTATCTCTTGCTAGAAGTCATCTCTCTAACTCTGGTGGCGATGCTGAGATATTCTGAGTGTTGCTTTTTTCCTGCTGCTTCCAAGAGGGAAAACCAGCTTTCCATAACCCTGGAGATCCCTTTTCTTATTTCTGGTTTGGAAGGCATAATTTTTTTCCTTTAATCCTTACTCAATTTATCCTTCTAGAAGTAACTTGCTTACTAAAATACTGTCAGCTTTTTGTGTAACAAGTAGTCTGTAGTCTGTCCATATTGGCTCTGAGTGGAGATTTTTCTAAGCTAATCTCTCTCATTCATGTTGCCCAGTTGGAGAATGAGCAGAGTAGGGTTTGTGAGTATAAGGCCAGGAACCAAAGTGGACACTATTGCTGAGCCTTGAGCAAATGGGAAGCAGTATGCCAGAGGAGTCTCTCTGTCCGTAAAGGACAAGGTACTAAGGCAAGAGTGAGAAAGGCAGGTTCCTTTTCCATTCCGTGTCTCTCTTTTGTCACGGGATGTCACCTGAGTGCATCCCCTAGACACCCACATTCTTAACTGTGTCTACCTAGTCACAGATGTGCTCCCTTCAGCACCCATTCAGAAGTCTACCACTTAGAGACTTTCTTGAATTGATGCATTTATAATTGTGTTCTGGAATCCAGTCCTTGTGATCCACACATTTTATTATTTATTTTAGTACTTCTTTTTTTTTTTTTTTTCCCACAGCGTTGATGGCCCATGTAGAAGACCTGATCATAAAGACTGTAATCTCTGCTGAACTAGCTATTGCTACGGCCTGTAAAACCTTTGTTCCTCATCGCAGCAGTTGTTTCGGTAAGGAGACTCAAAACGCTTAAGGTGTTTTGTGACAAGAGTTTTGGAAGATTGGGATGTGATTCTATAGTGATTCTGCAGGAGGTACGTGGTGGTCTTTTCTTTCTTTTCTAAGCTCTTGTAGCAGATAAAGACACTACTAAGAGGCCAGTGGTGAGCTCAGTTGGAATTCTCCCGCCTTCTGTGTGGGAAGCAGGCATTGAAACTCAAGTGTGGGTCTCACTGTCAGAGTGCAGTCAGAAAAAGTCTGCCATGGACTGTACAAAAATCCAGCTCTAACAAATATATTCCAGAGCTCTTTGGCAGCCAGACTGGGAACTGTTCCAAGAAGCTCTGGCTGGTACCAGTATGTGCTTTCTCCCATTTTCTGATGACTCCTCCTTTTTGCCTTTTTTCTGGTGGGTCCCCATCCCCACCACCCTTTTTCTTTCTCCTCTTCATCCTCCTCCTCTCCCTTCCAAACCCTCATTCCCTGATAGCAGAGAGAGGAGTAAGAGATAATTCACAGCTACTATATCAGAAAACCATTGCCTGCTGACCCACTGTGACTGTAGCAGCCAAGATGACTGCATACATGTGCTTTTGATGTGGACACAAACTCTTACGTGATTGCCAGTAACACACTCTAGGATCATCAAACCAAAAAAACCAAACTTGCTGCCATTGAGTTGATTCCGACTCATAGCAACCCCCTTTGGATTTCCAAGGTGGCAAATCTTTACTTAAGTAGATTGCCCAGTCTTTCTTCCGCAGAGTGACTGGTGGTTTGAACCTCCAGCCTTCCGGTTAGCAGTCAAGTACCTTAGGTACTATGCCACTGGAGCTCCTTCTAGGGTTATCAGTGGGGACAGATAATTGAAGCCTGGGATGGAGTAATATAAGTAGTAAGGGTGTAAGAGTTACAGCCTGCCTGGGAGGCAGGATAGCAGGGTAGTAAGGAACATGGACTTTAGACCTTGACAGACTTAAGTTTGAAACCCACTTACCTCCCTTACTGGCTTTGCAATTTTCAGCAAGTTGTACTAATTCTCTTTCCTTAGCTATACAATGACAGTAATGATGACATTCGTCTCCAGAGAGTACTGTGGAGATTAAATGAGATAGTGCATATAAAGCATGATTTTTTATTGTTTTTTATAATTAGACATAATTCTAATGTAATAGATGATCATAACACTCTGTACTTGAGGGGTGCTAAACAGCGGGAGTTTTTGAGATTCTGGGTAGAAAATGTGAGATACAGTAGGACCTAAAATTATATAGTAAAAGGAGAGATAGTGATAACTTTTTTTTTAATGCATTTTATTGAAATGTAATTTATGTACAGTGAAATACACAAAACTAAAGTGGCATGGGTCAATGCAATTTTTTTTTTTGCAGTGTTCCTTCCCCTCCCCTCCCACCCCTGGCAACCAACCAAAGAAATTTTCCCTCCATATATAAACCTTTCCTTGACTCTCCACAACGACAAACTAATCTATATTTTACATATATATATATATATATATATATATAAAATACTATATTGTCCTTCTCTGATTGACTTTTTGACTTATTTCACTCAGCATAATGTCCTCCAAGTTCATCCATATTATGTGATGTTTTGCAGACTCTACATTATTCTTTAGTGCTGCATAGCATTCCATTATGTGTATGTACCATAGTTTGGTCATCCACTCTTCCACTATGAATCTTAGAGATAAGTCCCTTGTAGTTATTGGAAAATATGAATTTGTTGCTGTCATTTTTGTCATGTGCTTTTTCATGGTGTCCATTTCTTCCATATAATTTTCTGTGCTGAGCTCATTTTGTTTATGAAGCGTGTTATCACTTCCTTCATTGCTGTTGTTTTAGTATTTGCTGAATATTTATGCTGGTCCTCTTTTTTGATGTGCAGGTTCGTTTTCTTCCCAAGTTTAGAACAGTCCATTATATCTTGTAGCTGTCTTGACGTCCCTACCATCTACAAGTTCTGTAGCGACACAGTTTTTTCCCTCTTTTTGGTTTGTAGTTGCCCTCATTTGTCAATTGATGTCTCTGGTTCCCTGTTTATTATCTTGTAGGCTTATTTACTTTAGATACTTCCATAGCTGGGTTGGTTTCTGGGTTATATCATCATGTGCGTTAATGGTCAGTTGTTGGTGGCTGTTGTTGCTTCTCTCTCCAAAGGACTCCCTTTAGCATCTCTTGTAAGTTTGGTCTGGTTTTAACAAATTCCCTTAATTTCTGCTTATCTGGAAGTGTCCTAATTTCACCATCATATTTGAGAGACAGTTTTGCTGGGTACATAATTCTTGGTTGGAAATTTTTCTCCTTCAGTGTTTTATATATACCATCCCATTGTTTTCTTGCCTACATGGTTTCTGTCGAGAAATCCAAGCTTAGTCTTATTGGTTGCCCCTTCTAGGTAACTTTTCATTTTCCCCGTGCTGCTCTCATGATTCTTTCTTTGTCTTTGGTTTTGGTGAGTTTGATGATGATGATGTATGTGGGTGATTTTCTTTTGGGCTCTATCCTGTTTGGCGTTCGTTGGACTTCCTAATGGATATACTCTCACCTTTCATCATACCAGGAAAATTCTCTTCCAGCAAATCTTTGTCAATTTTCTCTGTGGTTTTATTTGTCTCTTCCTGTTCTGGAATTCCGATTATACGTAGGTTATTCCTTTTGATGGTATCCCACATGAACCTTAGGCTTTCTTCATTTTGTTTTGATCTTTTTTCTGATTGAT